GCGTTAGCGCCGATTTTGACCGCATAAAGACAGAGCAATGACACAATATGTGAAATGGTGGTGATGGTGACACCGACGATTTTGTACACCAAATATTTTGCTGCAGATCGAGTCTTAGATCTCCGAGAGAGAGAGGTCGGGTTTACGAGGTATAAGACGGGGGCTGCTCTTAATTGAAGCCTTGTTGAAGGCGAGAAAAGGCGTGCTGGTCCATCGCGAGTGGCCGCTTCTATCGGACGGGATAAAACAACGTTTATTGAAGTCTCAATTACGTGCGAGCCGCCTGTTCTCGTCCTCAGACCACCTCCGCCCAGCGCGGGCACCCACGACGCACGCGCTGACCATCTCGACGTCCGCCGAAACGTGCATTTCTATCACTGCTTCATTGCCCGAGACGCAGTACCTTTTCATATTCCACTCCACTGCCGATGGGAGACTTGACCATTAGTTTCACTTCCTCTCAACAAGAGGTTTCCTACCAACCAGCCCACTCCACAGGAACCTAGTTAAATTCCCTGGGATGGCCCCGCCCACCAAGAATGCGTCCGACTTGCGCAACGGCCACTCGACAGTTGCAAGCAAACTTGCGAACTACTTGGAGATTCTGCGTCTGCAACCGTGCAAGTCCCGTTGTCCGTTATCATAACTCAGCACAAAGCCCAAGCACGCGCTCTTCCTTGCGCACGAGATACGACAGGATAAGAAATGAGAAGTGTAAAATACGAAGTACACATCTTACGAGGCCATGGCCCCTTGGTACAGCTCCTTGGTAGCATCATCGACTTGAGTGAGAATGCGTTGATGGCGTTGCAGAGATGCTGCAGTTGTGAACCTTTGGGAACATCCTATTGACGACTAAGCAGTGCCGTCTGCAAGGGCTCTCGAAGATTCGCAACACGCCAAGCGACGTTGGTCCTCGTCAACTGGTAGGGTGTCGACTGAAAGTAAACTGACATCGAGGGCCTCACACGCCTTCACCAACGACGTCGGGTCGTTGCTTGCGATACCGTGCATTGAAATCCGAATGCAATGCAGTAGCTCAGTGAAACGATCGATGATGACATCAAAATTAGGTAGGTGAACGTGGGAAACGACAAGACCAACGCTGGCAGTGTCTATGGCCCCAATCCCGAAATTTGTTGAATTTCTCCCCATACGATATATGTAGCCGATTCGCCAACCAATTGCACTGGCGGCTTGTTAGCAAATGCTCTCTTCCTTGCTGTGGAGCGCCGTGGCGCCCGACCTGAACTGATACATGAAAGCATCTTCCATGGTCGCGCGATCTCATGTGTGTGACTTTCTTCTTTCGCGTTGACAGGGTGAGAAAGTGCAGCGTCGATCCGCGTCCCATACATGCACCTGTGGCGAATGGAACGTCGAGATGAGTCCATACAACCCAGCTGCGCGCAACCGAGGTCAAATCGGTGACCCCGGCGATGGCATCACATGGCAAGCCGCACCTCAGGCCGAACAGCTCTCTCGGTGTGCGGTGGACGCGTACGCGAGCTGGACGACCCGCACATTCTCAGGCGCCAGGATCGCTCCCCGTTCGAGTGCGAGCTCGGACTATCGCGTCGCCTCGGAAGCAGCGTCGTAGTGTCCTTTTTGGCGAGACGTGACGGGCGTAATAACGGGTGAGCAAACAGCCCGGACCTTTCTAGCCACAAACACTCCATGGAAAGGCCAAGGTCCACTAAATCGAAAACACATGTGGCCGGCCACTTGACTGATCCGGGCCATTTCGCGCATACGTGTACAGTTTGACCGCACGCTCTAGCTGCACGGTCCGTCTCCGAGGTCGCCACAAGCATTCTACTATTATACGATAAGATACTATAAGCATTTGTCGGCTTGGCGTGCCAGTTTGCCGTTGGGCCAACATTGTGTCCGCCAAGTTGCCGTTGCACTTGATGCGAAACCGCCTGGAACAAGATGACGCCGTACCCAGACTATCGGAGCTTTGTCATGAGAAAGAACCAACCGGAGCTGGAACAGGCTAGGACCAGACGCACGCGGCGACGTCGTCGGCCGGCGTCACGCGAGGATATCGATTATCCTATATTTTCTATGGAAGAATCTGGTATAGGCGCGTATGAGCAGGCGTCGTTCCGCTCATATTTTGGCCTTTCCCGGCAGCGCACGCCATGTGGTGGGACATGTCGGCCATTCGTCACGGAGCCAATCGCTAATTTGCACCCGGCTACAGAAGCACGATGGCGGCCGAAGCTGTCGACGAAGCGATCCTGCATCGCCGCGCGCGCAAGCGCAAGAACTCGCGCGCGTGGCGCATCAAGCACAAGGTGCGCCGCATGTCGTTGATGGACCTTGACACGATGGATACGATGCGTAGGACGCGGTGCAGTCGCTGCGCCAGACCGCCGACCTCCTCGAGCGGCAGGTCGCCGACTTGCGCATGGTGGCGACAACGAGCAACGCATCAAGCCTCGCACAGCGCTACGAGTCCCTCGTCAAGGTCAAGCACGGGCTCATCCAGCAGAACGCATTGCTACAGCAAGCCATCGAGCGCCGAAGCGCCCTCTACACACGCCACATCACGGCCCTTGTACGCTCTCTCTTTCTCGCTCGCTCGTTGCTCAGCGCAGCGTAGATGGAAATGGAAGTCGACAACTCGCGCATCTACGACGACCTCTTCCTGTACACAGTGCTGCAGGCCACGCAGCGCGACGTCGACAGCAACATACCAAGTGCCTTTGGGCACTCGCCGACACCGCCGCAGGTCGTGCGTGGCTGGCTCGCCAACATGGGCCAAGTCGATCAAAACACGTACTACGACGTCCGCAAAGTGCTCGGTGCGAGCGCCATGACGAGTCTCCGCGACGTCGGCGACTACCACTGGCGCGTCCGGAACGACAAGGCGGCGTACATGCGTCTCCAGAACATTGCGCAGGATTTCCAGGTCCGCGACATTGTCCTCTGCGATACATGGACTCAGAGCAAGTGTAGATCTTGCGCCAGTCCGAGTCGCTCAGCGTCTCTCGGAGCGTGTTGCAGATCGGACCCAACCTCGTCGTGCGCATCATGGTGCAGTATCAAGTGCAGCTTTCGAACGGCTTTGACTATTGCTTTATCAACCTGACGCCCGACCTCAACTCGCTCACGACCACGATGCGGTACGTTCCTGAAACGTGGGAAGCCTAGTGGCTCATATGCACGCGTGTGTAGGGTGCGGCTTGAGATTGTCGACGGCCATGTGGTCGTCTCGGCGACGGGCAAAGCCCAAGGCCCGTACGGCCCCGCACCTGAGTATACCATGTCGTACGTCATTTCGGAGATGCTTCACTGGGAGGATCTCTTGCGGTCCTCCGGCTCGGTCATCTGGCACGACGACGTCAAGCTCGAGGCGCCGTAGGCAGCATTATCTAACGTTATTTCAATCACCTCCTTGTTGTCGTTCCGAGTAATCGCATCATTGTTGCGTGATCTTCTCCCGCCATAGAAGTCTGTTGTTGACAGGACAGAAGGCTGGCTGCAAGCCGCTCGCTCTCGCCGCCGCTGCGTGTGCTCTAGGCACCTGTAGCACCAGTGCAGAGCCAGCCTGCAAGCTCCCCCAGTGGAGTTCCCCACGCAGTTCACATGTGCAAGGGCCATCAAGATCAAGATGGGCCGTCCATTCAGTACTATGAGGCAGCCGTAAACATTGTAGAAGACTAGCAGCACGCACAATGATAGCAGCCTTTGCCCGTTGCCACGGTGCCACCTGGAGCATTGGCAAGACGTACCAGGTGTTGGAGGAGCCAGCGAGAATGCATGTGGCCGATTTAAAAAAATGCCCGAGTCCTCGTTGACGCTGGCGGAGCGCCGCCGTTTGCGCAAGTGCGAGAGCACGCAGCGTTGGCGCAGCAAGAAGAAGGTACGACGCTGCTTATCGCCATGACCTTCGACATGCGCTGTCTGCAGGACAACGTCGCGGCGCTCCACGCCACCGTCGCCGCGCTCGAGGACCGCGTGGCCGAGCTCCGGCTAGAGCGCGCAGGCGATATCCACGCGCTTCGCTTTGACGCGCTCTTGGAGACCAAGAACAAGCTTCTTCAGTACAACCGAGCGCTGCGCGAAGCCATCAACCGGCGCTCTGCACTACCACGCACCATCGCGCGTTGCATGGTATTGCATTGTAACTCTGCTGCGATTCCTGAGGCCACGCTAGGCGGCGTGCCGGCTCGACGACACACGCATCTTCCACGACGATTTCTTTGTTCTCGGCCAACTCCAAGCCGCAATGCGCCTCGTCGCAGCCCACGTGCCGTTGGCCTTTGCGAGTCCGACGGCCGAGACGATCCTAGTACAACGCAGCGGGTGGGCCCTCCACGGCGTGTGCCATGACGGCCGCCTCGTCACGCGCTGCGAGAAAGCCATCTACGTGCCATCGACCGACGAAAGCGTCCAGGCCATCGGCGCGCGATTCTGGGCGATGCGCAATCGCGAAGACATGTATTTGCAGCTGTGCGCCAACGCGACGAGCTTCCAGGTTCGCGCACTCTGGACTCCGTGTGCGGTATCAAATTGCTCATCTTAGGTGCTACGGGAACTGCGTGACGGTCTCAGCGTCGCACAGACCGTCCCAAAGAGCGTCATGGCACCGCGCTTCCTCATCCAGAGTCTCGTGCATGTCCGCGATGGCTTTGACCACACGCTCATCTTTCTCTCGCCCGACTTGAGTCGCATGACGGCGGCAGTCGAGTACATTGCTCATGCAAGCTGGCTTTCGCGTCTCACCGCGTCGACTGTAGGCTGCAGTATCGCTTGCAGAACGGCTGCCTCGTCGCGCAAGTCCACGCTGTTCAACAAAACGCCAACAAGGACATTGACATTGACGCGGCCTCTGCGCTGCATCTCTTGACCTACGTGGCAAGCGAGCTCAGCGAGATGGAGCGCTTGATCCGGCCCGTTGCGTAGCGTTGCGACTCATCATAACTTCTTCGTTCTCCCTAATGTTACCTTGCGTTTATGTGTTTATACTAGCATCGATAAGGTCGGCCTCCCATGCACCGCTCGTGGTCCTCGTGCGCTCAGCGCAACAGCTGAAGCAAGGGCCCATTGGGAGGGATTAAAGCTCTCAGCTCTCAGCTTCAACAAGGGTGGGAAGTGGGAAGGGTGCGTTTAGACTGCAACTCAAATACGCATTTCTAATATCAATATATTGTTCCAAAACTAATATAACGCATCTTTAAGAACACCTTAAGGTTTGTATGGGATCGAGTGATTTGCGACCACAGATGTGCCACGAGTGCGCCGCCGCTTGCGCAAGTGCGAGAGCACGCGTGCTGGTACGATGCTACTTGCCGCCATGACGTGCCCACGGGAGCAATACAGGAGAGCGTTGCATCGCTTCGCGCCAGCGTCGCCGCGCTCAAGGCCCGCGTGGCCGAGCTCCGGCATGAGCACGACGTCCACGCGCTTCGGTATGCCACCCTCTTGCAGACCAAGTACGATCTTGCAACGCGGCGGGTGGCACGGTGTGTGCCATGACGGTCGCCTCTTCACGCGTTATATCTACGAGCCGTCGACCAACGATAATGTCCAGGCCATCGGCGCCAGCTTCTGGGCGCTGCGCAACCGCGAGGACATCCAGGTTCGCACACGGCGTTTTGTTTGTGCAGCACCGACCGGTGCCAACTTGGGGCTCCAGGGATTTCGCGAGACCTCAGCATTGCCCAGGCCATACCAAGGGGTGGCATGGCGCCGCCCTTCCTCATGCAGTGACTCGTGTACGTTCGCGATGGCTTTGGTAGCAGGCTCGTCTTCCTCTCGCCCGACTTGAGTCGCATCACGGCAGCCGTCGAATACGCCCCAAAACTCAAGCTGTCTCTCGCGTCGCATCGGCAACCATAGGATGCAGTATCGCCTGCAGAACGACCGCCTCGTTGTTCACGTCCGCACCGTTCTAAAGGATGTCAACAAGGACGTACTCATTGACACGGCGCGCTCGCTGCCCTTGTTAACCTACTTGGCTAGGGAGCTCCGCGAGATGGAGCGCACTGCACTTTATCTTTTCTTTGAATATGACCTTGCATGTATGATGACATCTGAAAGCCATATATCCTAACCGCCTAGACTGTTAGGGATTCTGTGTATGATAACATCTCGAACGCGGTGGCTGGCGTCCTCCATGGCGCTCCCATCCCCCGCTTGTGGACATCGTCGGCCCCACTCTGGGCCCCACTTCAATGGGGGCGGAAACCGTAATGCGTGCGTTTAGACTGCAACTCAAATGCACCATTTGAATATGTCTATATTGTTGCAAAAACTAATATAACGCACCTCTGAAACACCTTGAGGTTTGTATGCCGCGATATTGCGATCTATTCATTCGCAAATTTGCCACGTGCGGGATGACCCAACTGGACGCGTCGACGGCCGTCGTGCTCGACGCTGCGGCGCCGGCGCCTGCCGACGGGCGCGTCGTATACATCGACTGCAGCCAGAACGACGGCAGCCAAGAAGACGACGCCCAGCGCCAAGACGGCCATGCTCACGACGGCGAGGCTGACGATCCCGAGATGGCGGCCAACGTTCCCGCGACGGAAGAGGTCGACGACGATCAACGACAGGCACAGGAGGCTCCTGTCGACAGCTCTTTTCAAGGGGACGTCCGTGACAGCTTCGCTCGCGATGACGAAGAAGAGGCTGCCTCGAGATCGCGCAACCAGGACGTTGCAGCCGGCGCGCCAGCCCGAGATGATGGCACGGTGGACGAGCCCGAGGTGACAGAGCCCAGCGATGTCGCCCAAGACGTGGTCGAGATCGACCAGCGGCAGGCGCCCGACGCTTCTATCGACCGTTCTCCCCACGACAGCGTTGAAGACGACCTCGCCCACGAAGAAGGGGCTGCGACGGCAACGTGCAGCCAAGACATTGCAGTCGGCGTGGCAGCCCAAGGCAACATCACAGTTCAAGAGCCAGTGGTCAAGCGCGGGCGTGGACGTCCAAGAAAAGTCATTCCCGAAGCTTCCGCGATGGTCGCCGAAGAGCCGACACTGAAGCGCGGGCGGGGTCGTCCGAGAAAAGCCGTTACCGAAGCTCCCGAGACGGACGAAGAGCCAGCGCCAAAGCGCGGACCGGGTCGACCAAGAAAGGACGCCACGCAGCCGCCCGCGACGGTCGCTACATACGAAGACCACCGGCGCAGCGAGCGCATGATCCAATTCGTCGACCACAACAGAGCCGAAGCCCAAGAAGCTACACCCACCGTCCGTCGGAAGGTCGGGCGCCCGCACAAGAACGCAAGTGCAACTACTGCCACCACAACCCAGCTGCTCGAACGCAAGAGTCGCTCCAAGAAGGCTGTGCAGCGCTATGAACACGACGATACGCACGACAACGAGTTGCCTTGCGAGATGAGCAACGTCGACGGACACGAGTCGAACCGTTCTGGAAGCGAGTACGAAGCGTCCGACGACGACGCGTCGGATGGCGAGGATGCTGCGCCAAGCAGCGTGTTGCCATCCCACGGCAAGCGCCCCCGCGGTCGCCCTCGCAAGTACCCCAAGAAGCCCGAGAACATACCTAAAAATCCGCGTGGTCGTCCTCGCAAGCATCCCCAGACGCAGCCAAGCCAGGCGCCCGCCAAGCGTGGCCGCCCGTTTAAGATAGCACGCGTCAACCCAACGCTCGAGTCGCTGGCGCCGGGCGACGGCAGCCTCCAGACAGGCGCTGAGCCAAACGATGCGTCGCCAATGGCGGCGACTCCCGGTATGACCTCCGAGGACTACGTCGCTGGATACCAGCTTGAGATTTAATCGTTTAGTCGTTTTTGTATTTCCTTTCCGATAATTTGAGTCGTTGTTAGTCTTTTTACTCTTAGTCTTCGCATAACACAATCGACTTGAGATATCAACAAACAGGCAGAGTCCAGCGCGGCAGAAGGAGGTCTACCGTCGTGGCTGGGCGAGTGGGCTAGGCGCAGCAGGACCGCTTCCACAGGGTGTTGTTGGCGGCATAGTCTGTCTTGCGCTTCTGCTTGGCGTGCCGAGCCAAGTGCGCGTCGAGGTCGCCGAGCGTCGCGTAGATGCGTGGGCACTGAGGGCGGCAGTGAAAGAGCTTGCTACCGCGAAACACAAACGCGCCCCACGGGCCCGCAGCAGCTGGCGCAGCAACGGTCTCGGAGACGAGAGCAGGAGGCGGCGGCGGCGGCGAGCGCATGGAGCACTGGTGGAAGCGCAGGCCTCGCTTGGCGTTAAAGGTCAAGGCGCAGTCGCCGCAGGCAAAGACGGGCACCGCTTCCTGGATGGGCGTGGTCGGGAGCGCCAGCAAGAGGCAAGCCGCCACGGTCCCGAGCTTGTTGCGGATCTGCTCGCGAAGGTCGCGGAGACGGGCAAAATGCACCTTGGCGAGCCGAAGCACGCAGTCCGGAAGGTCCAAGTTGGCGCCGACGTCGTCCATGAGCCTGAACACCTCGCGCTTCATCTACGGAATCGGTCATATCCTGCACGCATCGGATAGTACGTACCGTGTCCTTGTAGCCGACACGTGTCTGGCGCGAGTCGAGGCCAAGCTCGTAGCACGAGAGCTCGACTTCTCTGTGCACGCGCCGGAGAAGGGTGGCCGCCGGTCCACCATCCTAAGAGAGCAAGTGACACCTACTCACATCCAACGTCTCCTCCAACAACCTTATCGATCGACGTCTGCATGTTGTAGCCCACCGAGAAGAGCGGGTTTGGCGGGGCGCCATGATGCGATCGATCCTCCTCGTCCTCGAAGCGGCGGTATGCGTTGCCTTCATACAGGCGCGAGGCCTCCAGGACGTTCCCGCAGCCGGCGCCGTCCGGGCCCATGCACACGACCGAGAGGTCCGTGGCAAGGAACTTCTCGACGTCTGCGTTGCCGCAATCTTCGCAGACGTGCGCCGGCAGCATGCTCGATGTGACAGGGGTTGCGTTGCGTCCTGCGTTCTGCAGCTCGTACTCAATGGCATGCGTGAGCTTGCGCACGCTAGCTAGCGTCATCGTCGGTACCAGCGCGCTCACGACCTGCTCGGCTATCGTCGGGGTTGCCTGCTCCGAGGGCTGCGGCTGCTGGTCGAGGCTGGCGAAGAAGGTAGCGGCGTGCGCGTCCAAGGCCGTCGTCTTCGCCATGCCTGTCAGATCTGGCACCAAAATAAAAAAAACAAAATAATTTGCTCCTGGTGTGGGCAGCAAATACAAATAGCTATACTCTTTTGTAGAATCGCGTTCCCCATGTAGCTTTGAAGCTCAAACCAAACTCAAAACGTGTTGAATTTGTGCATCTGCCCTCAATTTAGAAATACATTGCGAGATCTCGAGCTTAGAACGGACACCAAAGCCACTTCAACAACGGACACCAAAGCAGTCCTCCGACATCCAGTCCCCCTTGGCGCTTGTGAGCGACGACGATCCCTCGAGGCGCAGCACCCGGTCGCTGTGGCTGTCGCGTTTTCATTCTTGTCGGTCGTTGAGGCTGAACTCAATCGGCACCGTTGAAACACGCAGGCGGATACCGAAGATTGCCAGTTTTGCGATGCTCGAGATGCAACTTTTGGCTCCGAAGACGCCTCCGCAAGCCTCGAGTTCTGTCAACTCCTGTGCACTATCCTGTCTGTACCCATGAATTTCGAAGCTTCTGACCATATTTGAGCTACTGGCCCGGTACTATGACCAGCACCGGTAGCTCCAAGACGCCTCGTTGGCGCAGAGGCGTCTGCAGGAGCGTTGCCGTCGCCGGTGTGCCATGAGCTCGGCTCATCGCGGAAAAGCCAGCGAGAAATATTTGCGCCATTTCGATTCTGCGTATCCGGATTGCCGCAATCGGCGCCGGATAGATACGACCAAGCCATCATCGCATTATTCGCACGCACATGGACGAGGTCTGCGGAGGTTGTGGCGTCGCGCTGCCATCGAACTGCCGCTTCTGCATGCACTGCGGCGCGCCCCACCACACCAAGAGCTTCTGTGCTTGCGGCCACGACATCACCAACATGAAGTTCTGTGCTGGCTGCGGCGAGCCAACCCGTGCGACGCCAGCGCGGTCGGGCCCGGCCTACGCAGCGCCGCCAGTAGCAAAGGGGCTCGACATGGCGTCGATCGCCGAGTCCATCCGGCGCGAGCAAGAAGAGAAAGGCAACTTGCGGCTCAAGGCGCAGGAGCTTGCGGCCAAGAAACGGGCGGCGGCCGAAGCCCGCTTTGCCCAAGCCTACGGCAGCGTGCCACACCCCACAGCCTCGCCGGCGGTACCGTCACATCACACTGTAGCATCGCTGGCGCCAAAGGCTCATGCACCAAATACGACGGCCGTTGGTTCGCATGGTGCGCAGTCAGCACCCCGTGCTTCAACCTACGTTCCGCCACCGCCGCCGACTACGTACTCTCGGCCGACAACCGCCGCTTCCACGTATGCCCGGCCAAAGAGTGCGCCCATGTCCCAGCCAACGCCATCTTCTGCGCACGCCTACCGCCCAGTGCCAGCGCAGTCGTCGCCGAACTCGTTTCGGCCGCACGTGTCGCCGCCACGGTCGTCGCCGCTGCCGTCGTCGTTTCCAGTACAGCACGTGTTGCCGCCGGCGACAACGACAATGACGACACACAACAAGATCAACGGTGGAAGCCTCTTCCCGGCAGCGGCGTCGATCGCCACGTCGATGGCTCCGCCGGTTCTACCTGCTGCTTCGTCGTCAACAGCATCTTCAAACCAGCGCTTTGGGCCCCAAGGCTTTGTCCCGCCCCGCTTCATTCCGCCAGAAGACGGGCAGAACCACGTTTACTCGGTAACGCAGACCGTCACGCGGTCCGTGACCTACACGCAGTAAGACGACCTAAGCCAATGAGAACAACGCGACGATCACTGTGCAGCAGGACACAGCGCGTTGCTCTAGTTGTTAGCATAGTAAACTACTAGTACTTGCTTACGGCCTCCGTGTCATCAGAGACACGCGATCGACGTGGTCCGTGGGCATCGGTTTGAGAAGGTGAGCGACCTGGGAAATCGCCACAGCTCCAAGCCAACACGGTCAGAGCCGCTGCGTTGGACGCCGTCGCATGGCCAACGTCGCGACGAGCTGCGATCATGACAACAGCGTGCACCCTGCCTGAGTCCCAAACAAGATGCGGTCATTTCAGTGATATCCTATTCATGTAAACGTTGCCACCCCACACCCAAGTCATTTCAAGTTATACACGTCCTCCGCGCTCGAATCGCACCTCTAGTCGGCTCTACCACTGCGTCAAGGGTGTATGCGACGTGGCCCAAGGACAACAATTTCAAAAGTCAACGCGGCCCACAACGAACGGTATAATTAGTGTTAGGCAATATCAAACATGCCGGGCGCGTCGACGTCCGGTTGTGTCTGAAAGAGCGCAGCCTCGAGCGACGCGTACTGCGAGCCAAAGCTGTCGGAGAGCGCGCCAAAGACCTCGAGAATCTCGCCGTCGGGGTTTTGGATAAAGTGGCGGTACAGCTGCCGCGACCCGTCGAGCTCGAGCGTGAAGATCGCTATGTGCACGGTCGTCTCGACGAAATTTGGGTCGAGTGGGTCGCGGAGTTCGTACTCGCAGACGGCAGTCTTGCGCTGGGCGCCGTGAATTGACTTCCACCGCCCAGCACGGTCGCAGAGCTTCCTCACCTCGGCGGCCGAGACTTCAAAGTCATGGGGCACAAAGAACGTGCCTTCGCGCGCGTGGACGCGGCGGTACACGTCCAACATGCGGCCGTTCATGTGCAAATGGAGGAGGTACGTATAGAAGAGGACGGCGGCGAGACTCATGAGGATGCCGTAGAGGAGCAGCGTCAAGACGGCACCGACAATGCCGGTACCCTCCGAGAGCACGTAGCGCGCGTAGAGCTTGAACGCGTCGCCTTCTGCGCACCTAGAGAACCGCGCACCTGAATCTGCCTGTAGCAATCAAGAGGAAACCGTACGTGCAGAGGGCCGAGGTCGGGTCGACGCACTCGGGGAGGTCGGCGCACGCGTAATTGTGCGAGATGAGATCGACCAGGAAGATGAGCAACGGGTCCAAGACTGTGCCAAGGCCAAAGCATGCAATGAAGCGGGAGCCAAGCTCGGGAAAGTCCCCGAGGACGCGCTGGCAAATGTACGCAATGAGCATGAGCAGCAGGAACGTAAGCATGTTGACAGCAACCCCGGCGCAGATGCAAATGACCTCAACGACGCTCGGCACAGTGTTCCAAATGTACTTGAGTACACATGTCGTGAGCGCGGGCTCGAATGTGAAGACGGGCACGTTGGCCGACCGAAGGTAGAGCCACTGACCGAGGTAGTGCACGTAGACGCGTAGCCAGAGCGCGAGAAGGAGGAAGGAGAGCATGAGCCAGAACTGCAGCGTGGACGCCTTGGCCAAGCCGAGGTCGGCAAACAGCTCTTGCTTGAGGTAGCGCAGCTTGCGGTAGACTGCAAAGCGCTGGTGCTTGGCGACCGTCTCATCGAGATGGCGGTTGGTCGTGAACGAGAACGAATCCCACGCATGCATGTCATTTGGGGGCACCGCCAGCGTCTTTTCGTCGTCGTCCTTCTCGTCTCGAGGCTCGTCGCCTTCGCTCTCGTCGGTGGCCCGTGGCGACCTCGGTTCGAGCAGCTCGATGGTTTCGTCGACCATCTATTCTCCATGATCTTACAGCACAATACTGAGAGCAAGAAGCCCACCGAGCGCACCAGTAGCGGCTTGGATTTGGTGCTGCGTCGGCGGAACCACGACTGCCACGACCGCTTCTTCCGCGGAGTTTTTTGCTTGGTCGGCGCCTCGACGAGGGCGGAATTCGACTCCGGGACGCCAGGAAGCACCCTGTTGCTGCTCTTTGTCTTTGGCTTGCGGTGCCGTGCGCTCTGGAGCTCGGCCGCGGCGTGGCCCCAGGAGACATGGTCGGCCAAGTGCTCGGGTTGGGGCTTGGGTTGGACGACACCTCCAATTGTGGCAGCATACTCCTGCTTCTGGAGCAGTGCGCGGTCGGTGGTTTCGAGCTTGAGGAGCTGGTTCATAAAGTCGACTTCAACGTCGTACTCGCGCTGGAGGACGCCAGCGTCGTCGAGCCGCTCGCGGGGCAAGTGCTTGGCCGTGAGGTACACATTGCAGAGCCACGCGCTGAGGTCCATCGTGTACATGCGCTCAATGTCCTGCGCCATTCGCGTTGCATACGATCGTCGACAACATGGGCGTACGTGGTACTTTGTGATCGTGTGGTCCACGTCGCCACGCAGCATCGGGACCTTGAAGCGACCTTCCAGAATGGTAAAGTCGGTCGTGCACGCCGGCAGCGCAGCCCACCCAACGACCGTGTCGTGCATCGCACTCGCGCCGCTGAGCAAATAGAGCTCGAGGATCACGACATTGGCTACACTCATGAGATATGGATACTTGGATAGAGTGTACCGGGGCGCAGGTCCAGCTCGGACGGGCAGACGCAAAAGATACTTTGGTTGACATTCAGTTCTGTGTTGTAAAAGTGACCGCGGTGGAAGATCGGCCGGGTGATGCCAGGGTAGTCGCGACCAATACCGCGCTCGCCCGCGACACCCCACGAGATCGGGTTGCCCCCGAGGTGGTCGTAGAGCGTTGCCAAGAGCACGTAGTGGCCTTGGGCCAGCTTGTCCTTGGGCGCACGAAGCATATGTACTTGGAGCTCGACAGGTTGCGGGATCTTGGCCCACTCGGCGCGGTACCGGCGCGTCTGAATTGAGACGTGCGCTGACGCGTCGCCGTACGTGTCTCGGACATGGGCCTAGACAAGGTCGCAAAGCTACAACATGCCGACGGAACCGACCTGCTGCTGGCCGAGGACGTTCTTCATGTGGCTTTCAGCTTGCTGGAAGACTTGCGATAGCTTCTTGGCCTGAAGCTCGACGACGTGCAGGCTCTGTCGCTCGCGCTTGGCCAAGTTGATTTTGTGCGCCTGCGCCTGCGCTTCGAGTCGCTTTTTTGTCTGCTTTTCCTTGTAGACGAGGAGGCTCTCGCGGGCAATGTACGCGTCGGCATCAGCCCGCGCCTGCGCAAGCCGCGCAGCTTCCAGCTCGGCTTCTTGCGCCGCGATCGTCTCGGTCGGCACCGACCCGACAACGACCTCGGCCGCAGGAACAAGCACGTCAAAGTGGTCGACGTACGACGGAATGACGACCGCGATCGACGCAAGGTCTGAAATTGCACCGTGCTCAACCGAGAGGTTGGGCGACGGGACGCCATCGTCACGCAGAAATGCCTCGAGCGCATCGTCGTCGCTCGTCGTCTCGGTCGTCATCCTCTGTAACTGCGACTCGACCAAAAAATAGACAGTCGCGAAACCTCATTGGCGTGGCATGGCGGCGCGCCGACCCAGCTACGCGTCCGCAAGCTTCAAGTCGGACCTCTTTACCGTCCGCGAAGTAGACTTCTCGTCGTCTCTGTTCGTCGCCATTACGATGGTGTCTAGTCGCTCGACAAGACGCCCAAGCACATCCTCGTCGAAGTCAAAAACAAGCGCACTCGTACCTCCATCACTGGCGCCGAGACGGGTGTCTCCGAGACCAACGAAGCCGCGATCGTCCAAGCCGCCCAAGTACGTCCTATGTAGCTGACGTTGCGACTGCAGGAATCGCATCGTAGCGACGCATCCTCAAGTACAACTCATCCGACTCGTCGTTGCGCAAGGCCATTCGCTGGCTTGGCGGCATGGTCGGCGTCTCGCGCGCGCCCCGGGACCTCGCACTGCTCAGCGCACACTTGGCAGTTGGCAGCGACGAGGCAGCCGCCAACTACGTGACGCTGTACGATGCTGGCATCACGCACATTTGCAACGTTGCGAGCCAATGCGACCTCCACTTCATGGGCAAGTTTGTGTACATGCATTTGAAGATCAAGGACACGCCCGAGCTCGACATGCGCCTGCACTTTGACGCGGTCTTTGCCTTTTTGAATCGGGCGCGGGACGTCAATGGCCGCGTTCTCGTCCACTGCGTCGCAGGTATCTCGATGGCCGTGCGATGCGGAGGCCGATGTCGGGTTAGGGGTGTCGCGCTCGGTCACGTTTGCGATCGCGTACCTCATGAAGGAAACCAAAATGAATTTGCACCAAGCGTACGCGTTGCTCAAGCAGCGGCGGCCGCTCATGTGCCCAAACAAAGGCTTCCGCTACCAGCTTGCGCTGTACGAGGTACGCATGCCTTTTGTGTTGCATTTTCACTTTGAAATGCGGTGGTAGATTGATCTGTATGGGTCGTCGTCGGTACTGCGCTCGGACGACAAGGACTGGGACTTTTACGAGTGGAATGTGTACAAAGAGCGACTGCAAAAGTAGCGAAACCACGAATTTTGACGTGTATTTGATTGGGAAAGTCCAAATTTGCTGAAAGAGGTTCCTTACGCCTTGCCCTGGTGGTGATCGTGCGAGAGGTCGGCAAGGAGGTGCAACGCGTGGGGCAAGACGGTCGCAACCGCCTCAATGTTTTCAGCCACCGCGTTCGGTTTGCCCGGAAGCGTCAAGATCAGCGTTTGCCCGCGGAGCCCCGCAATGGGGCGGGAGAGGATCGCCATGGGCGTCACGAGGAGCGACGCTTGCATGATCTTGAACACAAGGCCCGGTGCCTCCCGCTCCAGAAGCGGCTACATGTAGTCAAATCTACAGCTGCCGAGGTCGTAGAGCGTTCTTCTAGTACCTGGATGGCCTCGGGCGTGCGATCCCGGGGGCTAAAGCCCGTGCCGCCGGACGTAAAGACGAGGTTGACGCGCAAGTCGTCGCACCAGCGCTGGACAGCGCTGCGAATCACGTCGACTTCGTCAGGCACCGTCGCTGCTTCCACAAGCGTCACGTCCAGTCCAGGGAGCGCTAGACGACAGCATAGCTGACATACAACCAGAATCAGAAAACGTACCAGAGAGGAGCTTGGCCATTATCGGACCGCTGCGATCGTCAGCCTCGCCACGTGACACGCGGTCGCTGACCTACATGACGTGAGTCCCACCAGCCAAACACGCATCTTTTCACCGTCAAGATACACGCGCGGACAGCGAGTCGCGGTGCAGCCGTGGCCCGGGGCGCCGGTGCCAAAGGCCGGGCGACGGGCGGCAAGGCGGGTTGCTGCGCCGCCATGTCCTACCAGAGCATCCCATTGAAATCGAAGCGGTGCCATAACTACTAGCGTACGGCTTCCGAGAGGAACGTGCAGTCAACCCACGCACCCTCGTCCAAGCGGAGCCCGGTCGGAAGGTGCAAGAGAGCATTCGCAAAGCGGCAACTACGACATCCTTCGAGTCGATCTATCCAGCACTGGAGGGATCGTACCTCAAGAGGCGGCTGCTGGCCTGGACACCGGTGCTTGTCGCGACAAATTGCTGTGCTTGGGCATTCCACGCAACGTTGGCGCGATGGTACTCGGGGCGCTCCTGGTCCAGCGGGAGGGCATGGGCCATTTTGGCTTTGAACGTGAGCGGGGCGCAGGACGTGGCGCCCCGCAGCTTGCGAAGCACAGGTGCGACAAGCAAGCACGACGTCACGAGGCACGACACGGGGTTCCCCGGCAGAGCAAACACGAGCTTGGCCGGACCTGCGGCCGATGGAATCTATGTTTCCATCTTTCAATCTTCCAAGCTCGCTCTCGATCGATTCGTGTACCGTCGCAAACGTCGTTGGCTTTCCGGGCTTCATGTGGATGCGACCAAAGTGCACCGTCCCGAGCTCTTGGAGCAGTGGCTTGACGAGATCGTGGTCGCCCTACGAGTTTTGTAAGAAAATCACTCATGACGACGCGCCGTGTACCATGCTGACGCCGCCGCTCGTGATGAGAATGTCAACGGTAGGCAAGACAGTCGTGACGCGCGTTCGGAGCGCGTCCATGTCGTCGCTGCAGATGCCTACGCGTTCGAAATGTTGAGAAAACGACCTAAAATTGTGAAAAAATATGAGACCGAGATCGACAACGACAGCGTCGGCCGCGCGCATGCTCGCCAGCAGCATGGGGCGGTTGCTGTCGCGGATCTTTCCGCCAGTGATCGACGAGCTGGCGTCCACGAGCTCGGACCCCGTCGAAAGAACGCCAACGATGGGCTTGCGGTGGACCAGAACGTGCGTGGTGCCGACCTATAAGCATGTTTCTTAGTCGAGCCCGATGGTTTCTTATGGAAAAAGCAACGCACGGTGGCCAAGAGGCCAATGATGGCCGGCGTCACAACCTCGCCGGCCTCGACGACGATCTCGCCGCTTTGGATGTCGAACCCGATCGGGCGAACGTTGGTGCCGCTCGAGACCGCGTGGAGGACCTTGATGGCGACTTCATTGCCGTCCTAGCACCGTTCATGACATGCCAACTGCGATAGAGTATCATTAGTACGGCATCACAAACGCCCTCGGTGTCTTCGATCTTGACGACCGCATCGGCACCGTCGGGCACGGGACAGCCGGTTGTCACGTACGCCACGCACCCCGACGTCACTTGGCTGCCTGGCGCGTCACCGGCAGCAATGCGGTTGAGGACGGGGTACTAATAAGGTCACTATGAGAAGGACGCCATAAGGGCTATTGCTGCCGTACTTGGCCAACGCCATCGCTGGCCACGACGGCGTAGCCATCCATGACGGAGGCGCGAAAGGGCGGCAGTGGCTCCTAGCATAACAAGCTATTGCGAACCGGGACTGCAAGGTCGAGAGCGTACGCTGCTGCGAACTGTCTCGGCCACGACGCAGCCCAGCGCCTAGCAATTGATCGCTGTTGGACCTGCATGACGAGGCGACGCCGCGAGTACCTCATGGAGCGGGACCGCGGTCGTCTGCAGCGGCAGCGCCTTGGCCAGCACGATCTCAATGGCCTCCTGCATCGGCGTCATGTCGAACGCGCTGTTGCGCTTCCCGCCCTTCGTGTCCGAGCACATGCAGCTCATCTTGGCCGCGTGTGTTTTCCAACTTGATCCAAAATGCCACCTTGTCCGGATAGCGTACGAGCTAAATGCGGCACATGCCACTAATAATGGTGATGACGTGGAGCAATGTGGGACCGGTATCCCGTCGTGCATTTCATGGTTTTTGGATGCAAGCCGCGGGGGACGAAGCCTGTATAGTAGGGACAGCGCTGGCTTGGAACGTGCTAAGTGCAGTCTACGCACAGAATGGTGCGAGGTGCCCTTGATGAGCCGTGCAGGGCCACGACCAGTTGGCTGACTTCAACAAAGGCGAGTAGCTTGTAAAATCCTACTGTGTAACTTTGGTCGAGGAAAAGTCAGTCAGTGCCCTTTTCACTTCGAAACTTGCGCTTTGACTCGACCAGCACCAACGAACGCCTCGCGTCGCGGCCGCACCGCTGCCGCCATGCCTCGCCATGACGGCTCCGAGCGTCAACACCGTCTTTGCGCGATCCTCTCACGATAACTACAGCTCCGCCTTGCTCAAGGCCCTCCGCTCGCTTCCGAGCTCGCGCCGCGCGCCACGACGTGCTCTCGACGTTCGCCATGCAGACGGGCACGCGCCCGCGCTTCGACGCCGACGGCATGAAGGCGGCCTTCGGCTACGACGAGATGAACCGCAGCACCTTCCTCGTCATTGTGCTCATGGCGATCGCGCGGATCGAGAAGGCCATGGACAGCTTGGCTTCCGCACCGACGACGGTGGCCGCTCAAGCCGCCATGAGCTCGACGCTTCACGGCGTCTCGTGGCCTCTCACCGCAGCGCCCAGCGGCAAGCTTGGTCACATCGTCTCCGCTGACCGCAGCCTCGTGGTGGTGGCATCGTTCGCGGCGCCGGACCGCATCTCGCGCGACAAGGTGCCTGACCTTACGGGGTCGACCGGGTACTGGCACACACACGTCGTGTCGGTCAAGGTGGCCAAAACCGCACCACTGCCCAACGTGACTGTGCTCGATGGCCCGCTTTGGTGCGTGCTGCTGCGTCACCTCGACGCGATGACGGTCTCGGAGGAAGAGCTGCGGCCGTCAACGATGTCGCCAGCGACAGCTTTTCTCACAAGGCGCCTCCGACGAACGTCGCCACAATTAACGTCAATCTTGACGTTTTCTCTTCAGCAAATCACGAGTTGTATGCTCCATATCGACTACAGTAGTTTCAATTTGGATAAGACATTTTAATGACACTCGTTTGACAATTTACGTCTTTTCTGCAGCAATCGAGTTGGTATGCATACCCAAGGGATTGTCAGAGCAAGCTGCAACGTCAAGCAGTGATGCTCCTCGATGCAGTGACCACAATGACAAACAGAAAATGCTGGAGGAATACAAGTGTATAAATCAAGGTGTGAGTTTATGCCAGGCGCCGCTTCTTGCGCGCCATCATCTGCAGCGCAAGGGCTTCCTGATCTTCCAAGTCGCCTGCGTCGCTGCTGCCGCTCGCCTCGTTCTCTTCATCGTCGTCATCACTGCCGTCGTTGTCGCTGCCGCTCATGCTTTCGTCGCTGCTGGCGCCAGCGAGACGAGGGCCGTCGTCCTCGTCCTCGTCACTGCCTTCGTCGCGCTCGCCCTTGAGCTTCATGCGGCGCTTGGCGTGCTTGGCGCGGACACGATCCTTCTCGAGCTGTCGATCTTCGGCATCCTTGAGCTGGAGGCGCGCCGCGACCTGCTGCGTAAAAGCCTCGGCCTTGGCCTCGACGTTCTCGTAGAGCTCCTTTGTGGCGACCGCCGACGCCTTGGAGAAGCGCTCGAACGGCGTCATCGAGTTGCCTTCGTCGTCAAACACCACCTTGTTGAGCGCGGCGGCGCCGACGCGGATCTTCTTTTGCTTCTTCTTGAGCGCCGCCTTGGTCGTCTCGTAATCGGGCAGTTGTTCGTCCTCGTCCTCCTTGTCCTCGTCTTCATCGTTGTCGCCGCTCTTGCCAGACCAGTCATGACGCTGCTTGACGACCAGCAACTCGTCGTCACTGTCTTCGTCATCGTCATCACTCGCATCGTCATCGTCATCACTCGCATCGTCATCACTCGCATCGTCGTCGCTGTCGGCCTTGGTCGGCGGCTTGGCACTGCCAAGGCGCTTGAGAAGCTTCTCGGCCTTGATCTTGTCCTTGAGCGCCTGGAGCTTGCGGTTGACGTTCTTCTTCTCGCGGTTGGCCTCGCGCGTCTGCACCGCGTCCTTGAGAAAGGGCATGCGGGGCGCGTGGGGAAGGCCGTAGGACGCGGCGAGCGCCTGCATGTCCATGGCTTCGGCGTTGAAGATGTCTTTGGCCGGCTGCAGGACGACCGACCGGACGTACGACATGAACGCCTTCTGCGCCATGAGCTTGAGGTCCTTGTCGGCGGCGACGATCGACGCGACCTTGCCCTGCGTGCTCGCCGTCTTTTGCGGGTTGACCTTGATCTTGGCAATCGGGATCTTGGCGTCGTTGAGACCTTGCAGGAGACCTTCTTCTTCGGACGGCAGCAACTGCATGAGCGCGCGGCCGTTCTTGTTGTAGCGCGCGGTACGCCCGACGCGGTGGATGTAGTTGGCCACGTCTTCGGGCGCGTCGAGCTGCACGACCCAGTCGACGTTGGGGAAGTCGAGACCTCGGGCAGCAACGTCGGTCGCAAACATGACGGCGGCCGGCTTGTTCAAAAAGTTGTAGTACACATCGACGCGCTTCCCCTGCTTGTACTTGCCGTGGAGCGCCATGAGGGGCACGCCGGGCTGCATCTTGCAGAGCACTTCGTGGATAAAGCGCACTTGGCGACACGTGGACGCAAACACGATCGTCTTTTGCTTCAGATGCGACTTGATAAAGGCGAAGAGCACGTCGAGCTTCTGGCCGACTTCGCACACGAGGTAGTTTTGCGTGAGGCCGCTCGGCGTCGCGGTCGTCGACTTTTCGTGCACGGCGACGTACTCGGGCTCGTTCAAACTCAGGCGCGCGAGGTCCTTGATCGACTTGGTCTGCGTCGCCGAAAAGAGCATCGTCTGCCGCGACGGCGGGAGGTACCCGATGATGCTCGAGAGCTGCGTCGAGAAACCCATATCGAGGATGCGATCAGCTTCGTCCAGCACGAGCATCTACGATACACTGAGTCCACGGTTCAACGGGTCAATGCGAACGAACCTGAAGGTTGGAGAGGTCAAAGTTGGGCGTCTGTTCCATGTGCTGAAGGAGGCGACCGGGCGTCGCAATGAGAATGTTCATCTTGATGATGCGGTACTGCTCCTCCTGGAAATTCTTGCCGCCAATGACGAGGCCCGCCGAGAACGTGTGCGTCTTGGCAAACCCGCGGAGCACCTCGAAAATCTGAAGCGCGAGCTCGCGCGTCGGCGAAATGACGAGGCCGCCAAGACCGTCTTCCACGTCCCAGCGCAGACGATACAGCTTCTCAATGAGCGGGATCAAGAAGGCTACGATGACGCGCATGAGTGCATTGTCGACGCATAGAGTCGGATGATACGCACCGAGCGTCTTGCCGGAACCCGTCTTCGCCGCAGCGAGGATGTCGCGCCTACACGTAGATGCAAGTGAGAGAGTGCTCGGGCGCGCCTTGGACAGCGTACCCGGCGAGCGCGTGCGGGATCGCGCCAATCTGAATCTTGGTGGGCTTGGTGAACTTGCAGCGCTTGAGCCCGTTCTTGGTCGACACGGAGAGCGGCAGCGTGTCAAAGGACTCGACGTCGTCCATCTGCGAGCCGCGCGCCGGCGTCTCGAGCTCAATGCGCTCGTTGAGGACCGCGACTTCCTTGCTCTCCCGCTCGTGCAGCTTCCCTTCGTCCTTGGCCATGGCTCGATGTGATCTTATTGTGCGCTTGGCCAATGGATTCGTCTCGCCATTTATTTCATTTCGCGCGCTGCCCAATCACACACCGACGTTTCTGGAATATTGCCCAATCCCACGGCGCTTCAATCTACACTATATTTAAAGTCAAAATTGGTGTTGAATGTAGAGCCGACATCCCAGTCCTTGTCGCGACACGGCTCTCTTCGCCAAAGCCTAATGCAGCATCCCTTTTTCTTTTCTAGAGATGAGGTCGTGCGGATGCGCGCGCGACGTGTATGGGCTGGAACTGGACCGCTTGTTAAAGAGTACACTATTTGACAATGTGATATGGTGTTTTTCACACATGTGAAAAACAGCGTGCATTGAAAGGCGAAGAGGGTGAAAAATTCGAAGTGGACGCAGCCAGCAGCAGCATGGATCGGGAGGCGCATGTGCTCTTCTTCCTCCGCCACGTGCGCAAGCTGCCAGAGCCGTACGCGGGCCAGGACCACCACCGCGTCGTGCTCCTCTTCTTCTGCATACATGGCCTCGCGATCCTCGGCGAGCTCGACCGCGTCGACAAGAAGGAGCTCATCGAGTGGGTCTACTCGCTGCAGGTGCACCCCGATCGCCGCGACCGTAGCATCAACGTGGCCGACTGCGGCTTCCGCGGCTCGCCCTGGATGGGCAATGTCTTTGGCCAGCGGCCCAAGGACTATGAGAGCAGCACATACGACGTGGCCCACATCGCCTCGACGTATGCGTCAATCGCGATCCTCCGGACGCTTGGCGACAACTTGAGCCGCGTCAACAAGCAAGCCGTCACCGCGTCCCTCCGCCACCTCCAAAACCCAGCAACGGGCGGGTGCAAAGCGATCTTACATCCATCGTTGTCACAATTGCGCTAGGTTCTCGGCGAGCTCCCTCGGCACCGAGGAAGATCTGCGCTTCGTCTTTTGCGCCTGCGCCATCTCGCACATGCTCAACGACTGGTCGGGCGTCGACCGCGACGGCGTCGTGCGCTACGTCAATGCGTGTGCGGTGCGTTGCGCGTGTGCTTGATAGGAATCATCCTAACGACACTTGGTAGACGTACGAGGGCGGCCTTGGCATGAACCCGGGCCTCGAGGCGCAGGGCGGCGTGACCTACTGCGGCATGGCGTCGCTAGCGCTCTGCGGCCGGCTCGCGCAGGTGGACTTTTCGATCCAGAAGCTGCTTCGCTGGCTCGTTTCTCGACAGCAAGGGGGCTTCCAGGGCCGCACCAACAAGACGCCAGACAGCTGCTACGCCTTCTGGGACGGCGCGACGCTGCAGATGCTCGGGTTCCACAACCTCGTGGACATTCCCAGCGTCCGCAAGTTTGTGCTCTCGTGCCAGTTCGCGCACGGCGGCGGGATCGCCAAGTTCCCCGACACGTATCCCGACGTCATGCATGCCTACTACAGCCTCGCGTGGCTCAGCATCGCGGGCGAGCATGGCTTGTTGCCGCTCGAGACAAAGCTGCAGGTGCCGTTGCCCAAGAAGCCGTCGCATAAGTAGCGAGTTCGTCGATATTAGTGTAATACAATTGGTATGCAGAGGCAACCGAGTCTGTGGACAGCCTCGTCTGTGGCGGCGGATCGGCGCGGCCGACTGCAAGCCGACTGCAAGCCGACTGCAAGCCGACTGCAAGCCGACTGCAAGCCGCAGAAAGGCCATACGGTTGATGGTATATTAATATGAATAAAAATATGGCCAAAAATCGAAGCGGCCACTGCAAAAGAACCAATCGCAGCGCGGGATTCTGCGGCGGACAGCGTAGAAGCCAATCCGCGTCGTCTATTTAAAAGCGGTCGATGATGAGCGTGAATAATAATAATACAGCCCCACGAGCAACGAAATGCTGTCACATTCGGTTTCTCCTCGGTTTCAGCAAGCAGCATGTTCTCGACGTTCGCCACGCAGACGGGCACGCGCCCGCGCTTTGACGCCAACGGCATGAAGGCGGCCTTTGGCTACGACGCCATGAGCCGTAGCACCTTCCTGGTCTACGTGCTCATGGCCATCGCGCGTATCGAGAAAGCCATTGGCAGCTTGGTTTCCGCGCCGATGACGGTGACCGCCCACGCCGCCATGAGCTCGGCGCTCCACGGCATCAAGGGACCTCTCACCGCGGTCCCCAACGACAAGCTCGGCCGCGCCATCTCGGCCGACGGCGGCCTCGTGGTGGTTGCGACGGTCGCGTCGCCCGACTGCTACCCGACCGACAAGGTCGCTGACCTTTCCAGCTCGGCAGGGTTCCTGCACACGTATGTGGTGTCGGACGTGTCGATCAAGGTGACCGACGTCACATCGTCGGCGAACGTCACCGTGCTCGACGGCCCTCTTTGGTGCGTGTTGTTGCGTCACCTTGACACGCAGAACGTCTCGGCGGACGAGCTGCGCGAGGCCTTCAACGCCGTCGCGCGCGACTGCAATCACTTTGTCGTCAAGGACAACTTTTTGCCCAAGGCGCCTCCGTCGAACATTGCGGGAGCTGCGCACAATGCGCTAAAGCGCAAGTATGACGAGGTCGTCAAGGAGCGCGATGCACTGGTCAAGGAGCGCAATGCAGTGGTCGAGGAGCGCAATGCACTGATCAAGGAGCACGATGCACTGATCAAGAAGCACGATGCACTGATCAAGAAGCACGATGCACTGATCAAGGAGCACGATGCAGTGGTCCATGACATGAAAGACACGACGGCGGCATTGGCCGCAAGCCAGTGCGCGGAAGTGGCGGCCAAGAATGCGGCTATGCGCTACAAGGCCGATAACGACAAGCACCGCCAGAGCCGCTTCAATACCGACACGTATTTTTAACATACCACCATCAAGGTTTCAAGCAGCGTAACATCGTAAGATGACTAACAACAACATTATTGATTCCATTTACACTCCTGGTTGAATGAAATACATGGTATTGGTTGGCGGCGGCTAAATCACGCGGGATTTGACCTCGGCGCAGTCACTCGTGCTGCGCGGCTCTAGCCGCTTTGATGGCGATTGCCATGGGCTTGGCAGTGGTAGACAAGTTCGGAGTGAAAGACGCGATCGTATCAGACGTTGAGCTAGACGCTGGCGCGGATCGCCGGCCGGACGTATTGGCATGCCGCTGGGTGGATGTTTTAGGCCGTCGAGAAGAGGTAGTCTGAGAGTGTCATGACGCTTGTTAGGTCTTGTTCGGCTGGTGCACATGGACATGCAGCTAGATGACGCAGAGGATCACGTAGTAGGCACGTCTACAAACCCGATCGTAGGATCCCGAATAGTCTAGGCGGTTAGGATATATGGTTTTCACATACCCGATCGTCTCGGCATGGGCGTTTCAACGTATCGGTAGAGATTAGAAATAGAGTTTTTAGGAGGAGCAGGCAAAGGCCAGTTAAACCTCGACACTTTCGATTTGGCTTCGGCCTCCTAAGTCTCAATCTTGGGGCATGCCATACTTCAGCTCTCGCAACGAGGTCTCGAAACCAAAGAGCACCTGCGCGTATCCGCTCCCGGGCGTGGCCCCAGGGGCCGTTCTGTCATCCCTAGAAGCGCATCTGCACCTGCTCCGCATGGACAGCCGCAGCACCGACCGGTCGTGTTCCGCTACGACGCCAGCGCTTCGACTCCACGACGGCAGCAGCGCCCCGGTCATCTCGACACCGGCGATTTGACTTAACTGCGGCAGCGGTGTCCGGTAGTCTCGTGCTTTGACGCCGACGCTTTTTCCAACGACGGCAGCAGCGTCCTGGTCGTCTCGTGGTTTGACACCGGTGCATCATCTCAACTCGTCTCGTCCTTCGACACCGACGGTCCGCTGCAATGACGGCAGCAGCATCCCGGTCGTCTCGTCCAACGACGCCGACGCTTTCCCCCACGAAGGCAGCAGCGTCCCGGGCGTCTCTCGCTTCGACGGCGATGGCAACAGCGACCCGACGGCACCGATACATCAATGCGGCGACGGCAGCGACGACCCGACGTCTCTTGCTTCGACACCGGCGCACCAACAGCGCTGGACGTTCAGCCAACATTGTGCCCCAGCCGCATCGAAGCATGCGTGCCCCTTGCGGAGATCGCGCCCGACGCACAGTTGGTGCGAAACGAAGATCCTACGTGTGCATGCGCGCCGCCGTACCCAGCGACTCTGGCACGGCGACCTTGCAACTGGATCAAGCCGCGCTTTCGCAGCGCCCGCTTATCGACTTACCCTCGCAGTGGGTACATCAAACGTTGTGCACGTCGGAGCAGCGTCAGTGTCTGTCCGAGCGGCGTCGCCGTGAGCGTACCTCCCCCGGAGACCGCGGCCGAGCCAACTTTGGTGATCAACCACGATCCTACGTATGCATGCGCGCCCCCGTACCTAGCGACTCTGGCTCGACGACCTTGCAACTGGATCAAGCCGCGCATTCGCAGCCCTCGCGCAACACAAGCGTACTCACTATGTTTACCGCTAGAATCACCCACGAAAGACGACAAGTCCCCGACAACAACACTCGTCACGTCTAAGCACCTCAAGCACCGCTCTATTTGGAGGCTGTGCTGCTGAGCCACTCTCGATATCTACATCAAACGGCGAGCGCGGCCAAGTCGCGCAAGATCGACAACCAGCAGTCGCGTCAAGATCCCCCGTCTCTCCCGACCAACGACTTCTCCAAGACGCAAGGCAGATCACGCGCCGTCACCACCCATGCACGGCTTCACACACTGGCGCGGCTTTCAAGCGAGCGGCGCGACCAAGATCGCTCCGAGACGGAATACCGCCAACGGACGCCGACCAGGTGACGATCGACATCAGCACCGACGCAGACGACAAGCACCGCCACGTTTGCACGCAGCAGCCAACACCAAGGCTCGTTCGCGCGACTCTGAAGAACTGCAGCGGCAGCGAGCAAGATGCACCACGTTTTCAACTCGACGCCTCACTACGAACGACCACACCCGACCGTCAGTCTCGAGCGACACCGAGACGTACGCAATCACCAAGACGAGGCGTCAAGAGCACAAGCACAGACCTCGGTCGACCGGTGCGCATACAATCGTCAACCATCCGTCAACGACGCCGCTCTCCTATGACTGGGAACCGCCTCGCCAACCCATGGCAGGCGAGGTGATCAACCTCCTTTGCCCCCTTTGCTGGCAACAAGCGCGACTCCTGAAAGCTCGAGTTCGGCGGCCGATGCAATGGTGGCAGAGTCATCGTAGAAGCGTCGTCCTAGTGGCGGGTCGGGAGCTGCTGGCGCGTCCGTGGCGGGGCGCGTGCAGCTCTGTGTGCCTCATGCTTGCAGTGCCGTCGTCATGCACATGGAAGCGAGGTTCTAGCGCTGTGCCAATTGGAAAAAAGAATGGTTTTTGACCAATCCACATCAAGTTCCAGTTCAACCTTGAACTTCAAGAGGTTGAAAGCTTGGGATTCCTGCCACCTCCATGAACAAGCTCGATTGTCAGCCTAGCACCGACCGATCTCTTTGCAACAAACACACACAAGCTACATCGAGTACACATTTCGACGGGAGCCAGAATCACAGGAGCTGCTCGCAGCATTGCACATTCGAGTGCTGAGGACCATCGGTACGATTGTAGCCGACCTTTCCTGCGTCTAAATGCATGGGAACGAGCGTTGCTACGGACAAGTAGTAGAAGCCGACTGCTGTCGCACAAGCTGACGCTCGAAATCTTGTCGCCGTCTGCCTATGCTCATCTTGTGATAAAGCTACTCCGTGGCACCTTTTCGGGTTCGCTTTGTGTTACTCGCGCGCTCGGTCATCAGCATGATCTGCGTCGTGAGGTGCGCGTCGCCTTCTTTCGCCATCACACACTTTGGCTTTTGATCGCACTCCAGCAACAGCAGCATGGACGCACCTCCGTTGCAGCGCCCGCATGGGCCCGCGCGCAGCGTCTTCGAGACTCGCATGCTTCGTTTCATCTTTCGCTTTGTGGGTTGTCCGAGCGACCTCTTTGCAGCGATCCGCGCGTTCCCGGTCGAGATCCTCCCGATTGGCTACCCGAGCCTCCTCACGATGGCCGACGCGATCAGCGACGACCAGGTTGTGCCGTTCTTACCGATCGATCACCCGCGCCTCGACGCGCGAGACATAGCTCGCGGGCTTGAGGTGGTGCCGCTGCTCAGCTTCTTCTCGCCGGCCGGCATTGCGCGACAGCAGGTGTTTCGTGTGCCAGTGACGATGGATCTGCCGGCGGTGCCAAGTTGCCTCGTCCAAACGACTACAGCGCTCCATTGCGACGCGCTTGGCGTGATGTTGCCGCTCTTGATGGACAACGCTCACGATCACGTGATTGCGATCTCGGGTCGCATCGCCATCAACGGGGCAGCCATTATCTGGACGCTTGGTGCGTTCGAGCGCTCTCGTCGCGTCGACAGCTTGCACGTCTTTGACCTATTCTCGCGAATGGTCACTGAGTGCCCCGAGACGGTGCTCACGGCCATCTCGCGCTTCATCAACTGCCATGGGGCGACGTTGAAGTGCGTCTATCTGCGTCACTTTGGGCTATCCCACCCGCAGGCTGGTGGCCTCGCTCGGGCGCTGCGCCCGAGCAACGGCCTGCGCGACCTCAAGATTATGGGCTCGCTCGACACCGAGCGCTGCTTTGAAGCAACATTGCCCCATGCGGCGTTTGTCTACGGTCTGGCACCGACGCTGCTGCGGCTCACGCTGTGTCCGGTGGCGTTCTCTGACTCAATCATGGAGACATTGGCGATGGCGCTTCGGGCGTCGCAGTTGACGCACCTCTCGCTCGATCTCATACGCGGGTCGTCGCGGGCGCTGCACGAGCTTTGTGGCGCCTTCCCGAACACGCTCGAGAGCCTGACCCTACACGACGTGCTCGTCACGACGGCTGACGATGTACGGCCTTTGGTCGCGACCGTTCAACGCGCCTCGCAACTGGAGCATCTGCACCTCCAAGTGGTGACTCTCGATGACATGGATGCACTACGCAGCGCCTTGGCCGACGTGTACCGAGCCGCCACCAACGCCCGCTCGCTGCATATCGGACACATGATCCGAGTTTCTGAGCTCATGGCGTGCACGGCGACACTCCGCCACCTGACCACGCTCTCGGTTGAGAGGCTGTTCAGCAACGACGCGACGGCTTTGCTGCCGCTCGTGTACCAGCACGCGTCGCTCACCAAGATGATGATCTCCGGACTGACCTTGGCGCCCGCTTCTGTCCAGGCACTTCGCAATCACCTCGCGGTAGACACTGCGCGGGCCATCACGATCAAAATTCTCGATGGCATCAACGGAATTTGATGTCGATCAATACGGCGAGATCTACGGCTTCAAGGTAACGAGCCGATCTATCACAAAACTATCAGTCCACATATCAAGTTTTGCATGTTTTCTTTATAATGTTTCGATACGCGGGAGTGCTCAGGAAGCGAAAAGGGCGTATTGCCTGAATTACAATGCCAGCCTCGGGGAGGAGTCGCGGGTTGAGCAACCTTAACACCCATTTCGCTTTATAAGCCGCTAACAACCAACTCCATTCCGCAGAGCATGTAAATCAATGCTCAGGGGCCACGTCGACTGCTATCTCGCGGCGACGCATCGCATGCCACCCTTGACGCAGTGGTCGAGCCGGTAAAGGGCGTGAAT